GTAAGTGAGAGAATTAAAACTCAGATCTACTAGTCTGTGCTTCTTAGAATTTTTCTTCTTCTTTTACTTTTTTTTTAAAAAATCATAAGCATGTTCTAAAATAGAATGGAATAATAAATCAGAGCGCCTCATCTGCTATATATTCATGAGAAGTGTAACTGCTTCTTACTGTTCTCAGAAATCCATCCATAGCATATTAAGTACACTAGAGAATTATACCAGTGAAAATCAAATTGATTTTAAAACTTCTATACATATAACAAGATGCAGCCACTCTCAGAGTCCAATGGTTCTGGCGTTTCTACAACGAAAGGGATTGGAATTGAGGGTGACTCCACTTTACGTGATTTCCTTGACCTGAAATAGCTTTCAGCTGTCTCACCAGCTTACCCCCACTGCATTCAATTTCAAATCACTTAACTTCACTAAAGTTATTCAAAACGGATATGCAAAGTCTTACTCTGGGATTGCAAGCAAAATGCTGTCATTTATATTTTTGAGTAGGTAATATTTTGACCAAACTGCCATCTCCCTAATCTATATTACTTGGCTTTAAAGCAATGGGTCTTATTTTAAAGAGACCTACAGATAAAAGTTCTGGCTTCTGGGAGATTTTGGCTGCTTAAAACTTTATGTTTGGTACCTCTAATTATAAAGAAGTATAATATCTGCTATGAGTAAGGTTAATGACCATTAACAGGGAGGTTTTTGAAAAAATCATTAAAAAATGTAATCTTTTTGAAATCGCTGAAAAGTAAGTTACCAATAGGGCTGAAAGGTTGAACAAAGGCCAAACTTAATTAAAATGATGAACTAAAAAAATGAACTGGAACTAAATATTGTTGCCAAACTGAATTTGTATTAGGGATAAATTAAAGCAAGTACCTATCATTTAAAGATAAGTCTGTATCTTTACTTGTTTAGAGAAAGGTCAGAAATTTCCTGATAAACTACATTTATGATTGTTATGGGAGTGAAAAATTCATGTAAAAATCAAAAATTGCATACTGACTTATTAGGTAGTTTGAAAAGACATTTCATTCTTCTCTGTTATACTGTATATGCACAGAAATAAAACACTGATATTTTCCAATAATGATGATTGAATTAAACGTTGGCTAAAGGGACATATGGTTATATAAACCTTTATGGATGTTTATTGTGTAGACTGCTATTATAGTATTCATACTGCCTTACACCTTATCTGTCCCCTCCTGACTGGAAGCAACTTGAGAGCAGGGACTGGCGTTGATTCTATCTCTGAATCTCCAGAGCCTAGCAAAATACCTAGCATACAGCAGGTATTCTGAAATATTTGGGGAGTAATTGAGTAAATAAACAAATGAATGCTATCATGTACATGTGGGAGGTAACAGTTGTTACATGGGGAGAAGCAGCTCCATTCACCCGCAAGGTGCTCCAGATAAAGCATTCTACTGCTACCACTACAAAGCAGGTCATCACAAGGCTTCATCACCTCTTTGGCTCACCTGGATTTTTGACACCTTGCTAAATGAATGGATTCTTGGTGTCTGATCACAAGTAAATACATTAATACCAAAACATAGGCCAATTGGGTGACCATTTGGGGATTTTCTCAAATGTGCATTCCAGGGTGAAGACCATGAGCTGATCTTTCCTACAAGCAAGGACAGTTGAAGGTACGGCAAGTCCTACAACAACCCAAACTCCTTATCAGTTTCTGGTGTTTAAAATATCTTCTCTGCAGCAGGCTCAGCAAAGGAACCATGAGGGTGAAATTCTTGTGACCCAAGATTCCAAGATAAATTTAACAAAATATACTCTTCACCCAAACATTTGTTCATGTCAATAATATATTTTCATCCTTTCCACGTCCCACCTGTCTCACATTCAATACAGGATAATAATAATCTGATATAACCTACTACCTACATACTTCTCTGAATAATGTGAGAATGAAATTGTAATACAGAATATCAATGTGGAGCAAGTTTCTCTGGGAATCTGTATCAAATTAATTATTGTGAGGGAGGGACTAGTAAAACATCAATAGCATGACCAGGTGTTATTACCAACATAACTATTGACTGTACTGCCCTGAGCTCCAGACACGGTGGAATTTTTATGTGAACACCAATCCTGATTATACTTTTATTTACATCCTTTTGACATTTGTACTTCCATCTGAACATCAGGCAACAGTGGATTCTGTAGTTTTTGACCCACTCTGGCTATCATGCTTGGGGTTCTAATGACTTTTTTAGGGTTTATTGAACTTACTAAGTATGGGGGAACCAAAGCCCTTCCAAGGCCAGAAGGAACTTGTTTTCAAATGGAAACAGCCCAGCCCTCCAAATCGGAGGAAGATGAAGAAGAGAAATTCAGTTTTTAACAAATCTATAGAGACTATTCATGTACACGTAATGAAGAGAATATAATTCAGTAAAGAAATCAGTATGTTCTAATACATTTAGATTTCTAATGGGTATACACAGTTGTCAAAATGTTAACTTAAATTTTTTATGATAATTATGAATACTAGCTGTTAAGTGCAAGGTAGGAAATTAAAGTTCCTAAAAAGATGATTTCAGATTGTGAAGTTTGGATTTTCTCATTAAATCTATGGAAACTATTTTAAATTTAACAATTTAAACATCAAATTGTCCCCTAATTTTGTACAAATCATTGATACCCCTTAAAAAACTACATACATTTTACATCTTTTATAGAATATTTATAAAACTTTGTTTTTATTTTCTTTAAAATTTGCACCCAAAGAGAGTAAGAGTTTAGCCCAAGGAGACTTCTAATGAGTTATGCTTTAGCGAAATGAAGTCTGGTGTGAATTATTCTCTAAATGTGTTATTTTATATTAAATAGATGTATAGTATAATTTGAACTTCAATATCACCAATAGCCAACAGAAAAATAAAAACTTCCAAATTTAGGCAGTCAAAAACACCTAAAAATTAATGCATATAAATTACAAAGTACTAATTTTAACAAGCAACAGTAAATTAAAACCTGTCTTGAGATGAGTAAATGAAAAGTGGGGTCCCTGTCCTGCTCTGAATGGCTTACACTATTTAAAAAATACAAGTCATTGCTACATGCAAGTTTTCTTATTTTATTGGACTTCGAGCTTCATGGGGCTGCTCACAGAATAGGGTTGTACATAAAATAAAATAAAAACAAATAAAAATTCCTCCCAAATTAAGCTATTGACAATGCCACTAGGATGTGACACTGGTTTTAAACTCTCTTTCCGATCTGTGTCTATTTTGGTTAGAGAGGAATGGGAATTCTCTAAGTGCTCATCGTTTGTACAACACACCCCCAGCAAAGGTCTCCATCCACTTTGGCTGTTGAAACAGCCCGATTAATTTGCATTCACTAGAGTACGTATAGACTCCCATCTGTGGTTTCTAGGCATGGGAGAAAGTGGGCTACTTTTAAATCTGTTTTTAGCTCTACAGAGCTGCTAAATATCATTTGATATGGGGCTGAGAAATGTTTCCAAAAGTGTCTTCTTTAGATTCATAAATGTGTTGTTTCCAGTGGCTGTTAATTTCTACACATATCAAACAAAGAAAAGCAATCGACTATCCAGAAATGTCTGGGAAATGGTTAGATATTACAGAATCAATCAAATAGAATTATAAACCTTTTGTGTGTGTGTGTGTGTGTGTGTGTGCAAACCCATTAGAAATGTGTTGGTACCAATCCTTTCTATTTCGAGCCTCAATTTTGTGAAATATCGCACTAGGGAAGAGGCAAATATCATTGCCTTTGTGACTTTATTCTGGACACTTCAGATTGTAACAGAAAAATCCACATTTAACAACTTTATCATATTAGACACAGAGCAAATTTGTGAAAGGTGATTTTTTTGAATTTTCAAAGGGTTATGCTTTAATGTGAAAGTGATAATAATAAAAACACTTAAAATGTGCTAACAAACAGGTAAAGCCAGAATGTACAATTTTATGGAGACTTGATACGGCCAAGGATACACCACCAAATTATTCTTAGTGACTCCTTAGCATAGTCAGCCCAAACTGGCTGTTGATCAATATTTATAGAAAATACTCATGAAATAATTTGGAAACAACTCACAATATATAAAGCTTTCTTCCCATGATATATAAAGCTATTTTTTCATTAAAATAGGTGTTTGCCTTTTGCCATTTAAAGTACTGAAAAGTTTCCTTTACAGAAAAATAAAAACAAAGGTTTGGAAACCTTTTTCATTGTACTTTGCTGTTATATAAGATTCCTTTAAGATCCTATTTTCTTTATTTCTGCTCCCCACACCACTCCTTCTCCCTCTCTCTCACTTCCTAGCTTGCTCTCTGTCTCATTTGACAGGCAAATTTGCAGACATTGCCGCAGGATAACAACCTCGTTTGACAGTCAATTAACCGTGAATAGTCAAAGCCAAGGCAGTTTGCATTACATAAATGGAAAATTAGATTCCTTTTTCCCAAGAAACAAAACCCTCTCCTTAAGACACTGCAATAGACAACTTAGTATCAAAACTTCTAATCACGTCTTTCCCAAACCCCTTGGAGACATTTAGCAATCAGTAAAAGGTGGTTTCATTTAATTTGTATAATGTAATTTTTGTAAATGTATTATACATTTTGTGTAGAGATCATTATCATGGAGATAATATAAATGTTGGCATAGATGTCATAAAACACCTTTAATGTCTTTCTGACAGATATTAAAAGCAATAAGCTGTGATCCTTTTTAATGGAAGGTTTCTAAGAGAACATTTCAATTATTGTCATTTTATGCTTTTCCAGCCCGTTTCACTGTGTAACCTGATATATTTCTGAATTCTCTTCTGAAATATGCCCAGCAATTAATAATCTTATTGCTATTAATGTCACTGCTTTCCCATTTGTGTTTTTTATCTTTACCCTTGTACTGTAAATATTCAGTCTTCTGACTATGAATTTCAGCCCTTCTCTCTGTCATCTGACTCTTCATTCCTTCTATTTGTCCCAGCCTACCTGATCTTTCTCTCCAAAAATCTCCTCCGGAAGCATCAGAGTCTGTGATGAAAAAGCTATGCTCCTTGTTCTTATCTAGAATCAAACAAAACACAAAATCTGCAAGTGAATCTGTACTGACAAGTGGGAAACAAAGACATCCAAGAATTTTAACATGTATTTATGTATCTGTGTATGTTTAGAGTACTGATGCCATTTAAATGCAAAGACGTATGTTGAGGTTAGGGGCAACAGTGCTGTTATCTGGAAAATTGCCATTGCTTGGAAACTACAGAAATGCTGCCCATTAAAATATAAACTGTAGTATGAGAAAATTCAAAATTCAATGGATGAAAACTCACAGAATGGTGGTAGGGGCAGGAGATGCTGGGTGTGAGTCTCACAGAAATGGTTAAATGTAGGAAAGAAAACTGGGGGGTTATTTTCTTTTACCTGAAAAGTTGTTTTCATCCTTTGTAGATAAAATAACTTGGTTATTTTCCTTAGTTTTCTGATTCTGTATGGAGAAGAATTAGAGACACAAATCAATGCCTGGATGAAACCATATGCTAATGTCAACAGTCAGCAGGA